CTAAAAATATTCCTGAGAAAAAGCATTTACTAGAAAGAAACAACATGACAGTATAAATCTGCACCTCTGGACTGCTAATTCATGTTAAATTAAGCTCTTATTCATTCATGTAAGCATCTAGTAACCTTTGGTATGTTTTAAATTTTTACTTTACTGTGTTTCAAAAATTGAAAGCTACATCACTGCAAATTCGAGATCACACAATGTAAGAAGTTTAAAAAAAACAGACCAGAGAGAAAGGTATAATAACTTGACACATAAATTATTAGATCAGATCACAAATATGTAATAGTGACCCACATATCAGAATTTTCTTCCCAGTTTGATAATTTGATGTTTTAAAAGATTTTTAATTGAATTTTTTAAATACAGTTTTCCTCCATTCTTCCCCACCCAAATCTATAGATACCTTCAACTTCCCTACTCATCAAACTTCATGCTCAACAAAAAACTAACAAACATAAAACGAAAATAAAAACAAACAAGCTAAAATAAAATCTAACGAGACAAAACGTACTAAAACAAGACAAGGAACAAACTAAAGACGTCTGTGTTGTTGGTTGGCTTCGACCATGGCATTTCTGACTCTCCTGCAAAGCATAGCTTACATATGGGTAGATCATTGCGGTTCATTACTGGGATTGTAGTCTGGAGAAATTAATGATTAATTTTCCTCTCTGTATGCAATGCAAAGTACCTTCCAAAACCATAAAGGGAAAGTAAAGATGAAGTCTTAGTTGGTCTACAGCTCAATTTCCCAATTTTGGATGGCATAAGTAAGTTATGGCTTCGGAAACGGGGTTCCTAGAAAATAAAAGTGGTGTGGGAGGAGGGGCCCCTGCAGGAGACTGCAGCAGGTCCAAGAGTTCAGTCTGGAGAGACTGAAGTCCAGAACAGGAAGAACACAAAGGTTCCCTAGCAGAGTGGCAGCCTACTGTGGCAGCTTTGGGTACTTGGTGGAATGTCGTTCTGCAGGTCCTCCCAGTCACAAAGGAATAGAGATGGGACAAAAGAAAGGCGCAAAAGGGACAATGTGGAAGAACTAGGGGGGCCTTGGCACGTACCAAGATGCTAGGTCTCAAAGGTATGGAAGTGACAAGGAAGGAATAATTTGATATGTCTTAACAAGAGTTATGGAGCAGTGTCAACAGGCAGAAAAAAACTTAAGAGAGAATTGCTTTATAATATTGTGGATGCTCATATATTGGAGGAAAGGCAGAGTTCCTAACAAGGTTACATGCCCACCATCCTCTGTCCTCAGAGCAGCAGCCACTGGCATCTTAGACCATCTGCCTTGCTCTCTGCTATCGCATGAACACCTCTGAGCACGTCCTTCCAGCCTATACCGGGGTTGAGTACTGTTATTTCCCCCTACTTCATTGTTTGACTCCCCTTTTCCCTTCAGCATATAGATCAAATGATGATTCTTCAAGCTGAACCCTCTGTGGTGTTTCTGATAAATTCTGAAGATCTTCATCTCTAGGATAATTACCGCTTTGCATTCTGTCATATAGATGAAGTTATATGGAATAAAGGAAGGTGAACACTTTGCACAGCAATGTCAGTGGACAGTCGGTGGCCACCACATAATGAACGTCAGCAACTGAGGCTATGAGACCATCATGGGAGACACAGAGGATATAATCTTTTAAGGGATTGACCCAAATATTTAAATTCCAAATGGGTTAAAACTGATATCCTTTCCTCTTTCACCCATCTTTGAGCTAGTATGTCATTTAGGCCAGACTGACATTGCGCTCACTATGTAGCCAACAAAGAGGCAGACCTTGAATTTGTATTCTTTAGCTTCCATTTTCTAGAGTAGTGACTACAGGGTTTATCATTACACCAAAGTGCTTAGGAGTGAACCCTAAGCTTTGGCCATGCTAGATAAGCACTAACCAAACTATATATTTTAATCTGAATGATACTGCAACTGAATATCCTTGTAAATAAACCAAAGCAAATATTTTATCTACTTTTGTAAACTTTACAAAAAGGTTATACCTCCCTCAGTACAATAAACTGAACCAGAATATCAAAGTAATTACATAAAATATAGTGACCCATTAATGCTGTATTAATAGTAAAATGCTTTAAAACATTAACAGCCCATTTGCTTGGGAAGCTAAGGTTGATGGTAATAACCTAAATGATATATACATTGTTAATAAGAATTTGTTAAGAAATTGTTTAAGAATTTAAAAAAGAGGGGGTAATCATCAATATATAGTCACGTTCTCGTTATCTCCCACCCATCCCACTTGGTCCCATCTTATTCTACTTTTCTTGTTGTTGCTGATGCTTTTTATTTCATTTCCTGCTAAGAATGTATTTTTGTTTCTTCGAAGCTTCTTTTTCTAGAGAAATAATTGGAAACATAGAACAAGTATTTAAATAATGTATGTGCTCTAAAATTTCAGCATGTATATTCAAAATAAAAAGACATTCTAAAGTACAAAAAACCCCCCAAATTCATACATTCATATCTTCCTTCAGCTGGGTGATGAAAAAGGAATTTTAAAGCAGGGTGTAGAAGACTCAACCTCTGACTGACACATGCTAAACTACATTGCCTTTAATCCTCTCAATTCTTACACATGCTTTTCAGTCTTACATAGGAATAGCCTGACAGATGGTCCTAAAAGGACTGGCATACAAACCAAAAAAGATGATATGGTCTATGCCAATTTTTTTAAAAAAAATTTGAGACAGGGTTTTGCTGTAGTTTTGCAGTGTGGGAAAACTAACAGAATTATTTTAAACCATAAGGAAATGTTATAATGTGAATTTTTTTTAAAGAAACAAAAGCACATTACTTTTATTTAAAAGCTTTTATAAGATTAGTCAAGATTCAGAACAAAAATTCTTTCACCTGTCTACCTTGCATATATCCCAAGCTTGTTTTAGCAACAAATACACTGGGAATGCTAGTATTTTAGAATATCACATTTAGTTATCAAATGCACTGGAAAGAGGTAATGCTATTCTACCACATAATTCAATACATTTCCTTCCTTACAGCATAAGATTTTAATCAGACAAAACAATCAGACCAAAAACAGTAAAAGATATTGGTTAAATATTTCTGTTTTTGACCCTTCTGGATCCTTAAGATTTCCTACAAGCTCGGCACATAACTGATACCCATGAGTTACATTTGCTGATTGGCTAAATGAAAGGGAGAATTCTCTGAGTTTTTCTGATTATTGGTAATTTATTCTTGGCAATAACTATCTATATAAGTAGCATGTTAATTCTAATATAATTTAGAAATAATACTTCTTTGTTCTGTAAAGGAATAATATGCTTTGAATTACACAGTCTCTCTCAAATGGTTAAGAGCTGAGAACTAAACTCAGACAAAGCTGGAAGAGCAGGAGTTGAGTGCAGATTTGTATTTTACATATGCTGTCTGGACACACATATTATACACAATGGATCCTGTATGATGAACACAAATATCAGGTCAACGGAAGAAATAAATAATAAATATGTGAATTATTTTTATCTATATGTTTTTTTGGTTTTTTTGGGGGGGGCACAGGATCTCATTCTATAGCTAATTGACCTTGAACTAACTGCATTACAAGGCTGACCTTGAACCTACACAGTCCACTATCTCTAGCCATAAAAGCACCAGGATTATAGACTCAGAGAGTAGTTACATAAATATGAAAAACTTATTCATGCTAGAAATGTTAAAAAATGCTGCTGGAATCTTGCCAGACTCCTGCCTCCCCTCACATTCTCATTGCTTACAGAATTCTAAAGCATTGTGGTATCCAGATCACTTTACACTTTTAAACTTTTTGAGCATATCAAGAGTGCTAGATCCATATTCTTGTTTATGTAAACTACATATGGCATCTTAAAAATTAACACTAAAATATTCATAAGTATTTCAAGGTTACACAAATCATGCTGACAATATGAGGAACATACATTTTTTTTAATTTTTGAGATTATAACATAATTATGACATTTCTCCCTTTCTTCTCCTCCCTCCAAACCCGTCCATGTACCACTTCCCACTCTCCTTCGAATTCATATCCTTTTTTCATTAATAGAATAAACAATCTCCTTAAGAAACATCAATATTTCCAAACAGACAGACAAAAAGCTTGTGACAATACTGTTTTGTGCATTTGTAAATGTTTGATGGCTGACTTGATTGAAAGCGGTTCAAGTTTCATTTGCTTCTGCATTTTATCAACTATGACACATTAATCTAATGATGTAAAGAAAACTCAGCTTCATACAGGTAAGGACTTGAAGAAGGGAGGAACACATGGAGACCCAAGGAAGGACCTTGAGAGCTCCAGGTGTTCTCTTCCCACATTCTGCAGAGATATAACACCACCACCATCTTCTCAATTAACCACAACTTGTAAGAAAAGGAAATAAATATATATGTATATATATACACATAAATACATACACACAATACATATAAGCCACATATTCATTAAGAATTCAAATAGTAATACTATATAAATATCTATTATTTTGTTAAAATGAAATATTTTACTTTAAATTCATTACAATTAAATTAGAATATAAATTCAAGTTTGAAACCAAGAGTAAAAATAAAACATGTAATTCCAAAGTTTGATATAAGTAAACAGAAGATTAGAAAGAGGGAGTTTACGGAGTGGGGTGGGGAGGACAAGCATAACTGGACAGAGTCACTAATTTGAATGTGATCTGAGTATCCTTTAAGCAATAAAATAGATTGAAATGCTTAACTGAAAACAAGATGCATTCTAATATTTTTAGTATCCTATATGCCAATTCTAATTAAACTGTGAAAAGCACAAAGAAAACTTTTCGTAGTTTAAATTTTTGGAAATCACGGCATCAATATTCTTAGGAATTAACCAAATACCAGAGAAAAATATATGTGTCACATTATAATATCCCACATTACACATTTTAAGCTCTGATATTTGAGAATGTCTTATAGGAAGATGTAGTCCTGCATCAGACAGAACACTTACTTTTCCTTCTCCTGCAGCTGCTGTTCCTGTGGAGCTATTTTAGGTTCTGTCCCAAGATTCTTCTGCATGTGATGTCTTCTCTTTCTGCTTGGTGCAATGTCAGTGACATCGGGACTTGAAAACAGGGAATCGTGTTCACAAAGAGTGGCTAAAACAAAATGCAATGCAATATAATTAGTTATGCGTTTTATTTCTATTAAATATTAAATTGCTTCCTCAACAATGGCATATGTAGCACAAAGAAAATATAGCAAAACTATTCTCTCAAACCTTTATGCACACTTGCTGATGTGCAGCAGGAAGATGGGGTGCAGTGTGAAAACCTAGCATGAGAATTATCAACAGTGCCTACTAACCTGGTTGAAGTAGTCTCTCTCTATCTGTGGCAGACACAGTCACAAAGAGCACAACAAATGTACTAAAGGAACGGTATGAAGCAACTTAACCTGCAAGGTGCGAAGGGAAGTGCAGCAATGTTAGGTAACAAAAATTACAAACTTGAAAATCAAACGCCCTTAGTGAAAATGGAATTTGAAGTGGCTAAAGTAGGAAAAACCTCAAGGTGATCTGTAATTGTTACGCAGAGGAAACAATCAAAACACACTAGGTTTATGTTCTTGTATTTTCTATTAATCTTGTTTGGAAAAATCTTAAGGGCACTAACGATACCTTCTTGTTAACCAATCATGAACTGTTCCACGAAAATCCATGTCTTTATAACAATGGGGTGTTTGGGGCTACAATGACATCAAAAAGATTTGAGCTTTCAATATGTGTTCTGAGAATAAACACATGACCTCATGTCTCATTTAAGCTTAGCAGAAAAAAGTTCTGATTCATAATTACGGAGGAATTTGAACACTATCCAGGCACTTACTGAGAGGTACTGTGAAGGCCCAGTCCCTTCCCATAAACAGCAGCTGGCTCAATGAGAACAAGAAGTCAGCAACCTCCATTTCTAAAGGTAACTCAAGTGAACACTGCCCCGAGGACAGTGTGAAAATGTCTTACCTGAACCCCTAACTGGGTTTAAAACAGTTATTTATTTTTGAGAAAGAGTCTCACTATATAGCCATGGTGAGCCTTGAACTTGCTGTGTAGAACGAGCTTGGCCTCAAATTCACAAAGAAGTCTGTGCCTTAGCCTTCCCCTGTCCTGGGATTGAAGTTACACACCACAGCGCTATACCTAGCTGGATAGTCAATTTGAAAAACTGTGGGAAACCAATACAGTCATAGCCCACAGCTTCTCTTTTAGAGGAGGCATGATGCAGAGTAGGCTGATTATGACGACAGGCTGACATGGTGCTTGAGATTAATGGAGCCACAACTTTTACTTGTGTTGTAAATATAGACCTAGCAAAAACAACGACAGAACTGTACAGGTTCTGAACTTATGTCCAGAACTTAGTTGACTTCCTAAGCAAACACTATTAATTTTAGTGTTAATTTTTATATAATTTTGCTGGTAAAGAGGCATGCAAACATATATCCAGGCAAACATATTTTACTTTTCAAAGCTTTAAGTCAATTGATTCTACAAGATTCTACGTAGATAATTTTACTCATTCCTAAAATATGCTGAAATAGAGAAATTAAAAAGAAAATATGATTTTTTTCCCTGAAAATGTTAAAGCTCAATTATTTGCTACCTTTTATTAAGCTATGAGACAACTAATGAAGATAAATATCATGAATATGAGCAACCATAGTGTAAATGTTGTAAGTAGATGATATTTCAACTATAGGAAGATTTGAAAAAACAGACAAATATTATATTCAATGCTTTGGAGGAAAAAAATTAACTTTTAGTAAAATGGTAAGATACATATTTTTAAAGTTACAACATTTCTAATATTCATTTTAAAACTGTAAATGATGACTTAAAATTATGGTTAGAAGTTCAATAAGAGATCTTATATATACACGTAACATTACACAGAGTTAGCAGTGTGTATGTGTATGCATATATTAAGAATTAATGAAAAAGAAGCCATGGATTTGAAAGAATACAAGGAGGGATTTAGGGAAAGGTTTGGAGGGAGGAAAAGGAAGCAAGAAATATTGTAAATGTATTATAATCTCTAAAATAAAAAGAAATATAAACTAGATTGATGAAAATTGCATATAGAGTCCTATGCAGCATTAAATGTGAAGGAGATATACAGACACACTGAGACACTTGAGATGCTCCTCGCCATTTTATATGTAAGTATCTAAACACAGAAGGTCTATTCATGCTTGGAGATGGTTTTCTTTTTCTTTTTAGGCTAGGACTTCGAGTGATGCTGTGTCTCACTCTGAACTCTAGACAGAGCAACTGTTTGACAACAGGAAGAGTCACATTCCAACGTCAGGAATCTATACAATTAGTATTTGACATGGAAGATCACTGGTACTCCTAAATGGACAGGAAACTTGAAGTCTCATCAGTCTTGTAAGATTAGTCCCCATCATCTCATAGGGAGTGGCACTATTAGGAGGTATGGCTTTGTGGGAGTGGGTATGGCAATGTTGGAAAAAGTATCACTGTGTGTGTTGTAGGGGAGAGGGGTGCTTTGAGGTATCCTATGCTCATGATACTGCCCAATTTGTCAGTTGAGTTCCTCTCCCCTTCAAGCCAAGATGTAGCCATCAAAATATTTACTTGCATGCCACCATGTTCCCCACCATGATGATAATGGTCTGAATCTCTAAACTGTAAGCTAGTCCCTGTTAAATGTTTTCCTTTATAGGAGTTGCTTTTCTCATGATGTCTCTTCACAGAAATAAAAACCCTAACTAAGACAGTTGTTTTCAAAAGTTACAATTGCATTTAACCACTAAAATATTGCTTCAATCATGATATTTACTTAAGACATGGGGGAAACTTGAATAGAGTTAGAAGAGGAAGAATATTATTAAAAGCAATTAGGAACTGCATGACCTGAATGGAATTATGCTGTAGGAAGTCTTACAGCTTGTGGTTACCCGCCTACTAGGGCATGGCCTCTTATACTATATATGCTGATGCAGAGCCTGCATCCGCCCCTTCTTCACCGGCCATTCTTTCGGGTTGCCAGATTCAGTCTCTGTTCTCCGTTCAAGCAGAGAATTCTGATTTGTGAGTTTACCCCTAAATAACTAATCATCTATTTCTGAATTCTGAGCTAGTGTGGGATTTCTTCTAAGCGTCCTTTTCATAGAATTATATTCTTAGTAAACTATAACAAATAGATCATACATGAGTATTGCCAATACTATTGCTTGGTCTCTACAACCAAATTGCAAGTACCCATTGCCGAATATAACACCTGCGTAACTCACTGAACACAAAGATGTTGAGCTGGTGCTTACTTAGAGTCTTCATTCACTAATGACTATTGTTCATTGTGCTGGAAGTTACTCTACATGTTACCAAAGGAGAAAAGGTAAACACCCTTGGTCTATAATAATGAACTACCTGCATGGTATGCTGGGGCAATGGTGGCACACAGCATGTGGGATTAACCAACAATATAGAAAAGGATTTAAATCCCACTCATTCCATATACTGCTTAGTTGGTGAGGAACCTGAGAACAGTCATTCCAGAGACATAAGGAAAAACCAAATTCTAACGTTCTGCTAAAGGAGTGTAATCCTAAAATGATTCCTCATGACAATGTGCTATATTCATAGATCAGTTCCTTGCTCAGCCATATCATAGATGCTTCCTTCTGCAGTAAATGGGAAATAAACACAGAGATCTACAGCTGGACAATGTGAGAGCATGAGAAACCTTAGAAGGTGCAATTCTAAATGGATTTTTTTTCCATAAAATCCCTGCCCTCGGGATTCAGAGAACCCTACGGAACAGGAAACAGAAAGATTCTAAGAGCCAGTGGAGATGGAGGACACCAAGGAAACAAGGTCTCCTAGACACAGTAGGACCAATGACATATGGCATACAGAGGGTCTGCAAGGGTCTCAGCCAGATGGGGTTGCAGAATTGAGAGGGGAAGTAGACACAAACTCTCATTCCTGACCTAGAAACTGTCTCCAAATGATAACCATTTGAACATGAAAAATCAGTTATTTCCAAAGGTGTCTTATTGGGGATAGAGAACACTCCTAAGGGCAGATCCAATGCCCAATAGTAGATGACCCACACCAAATGAACATAGGGGGCACCTTTGGAGGTGGTCTCATAACGTTTTTCAGGGATTAAAAAAAAAAACACTTTACAGGTCCTTTGCATAAACATAATGAATCTCATTTTGTGTTTTTACAGGATTCTTGTGTGCACTGATGTGTGTGTCTTTGCATCTTTTTTATTCAGTTCTTGCTCTTTCTTTGTTTTCTGTTTTGTCCTGTTCCAGTTGTTTTCCCTGCTTGTTTTATTTTGCCACATTATTTTTCTTTAGACGTCTGTTTGTTTTCTAAGGAGAGGAAGACAGGGTGTAGGTTCAGATAGGAGGGGTGGTAGAAAGGATCTGGGAGGAGTTTGGGGAGAGGATACTAATCAGAATATATTGTATGAAAAAAACCTATTTTCAATACAAGAAAAATAGGTAAGAGTGGACTACAAAGGAAAAAAGTGAGGGTAAAGGAGACACATAGGTAGCAAATTACCACCTTTCAAATGGAGATGGGACAGCAACAACTGCCACTGACTGGAAACTGAATTGTATGGAACTATACTTCTAGAACTCCCAGTTTTAAAAATACTGCCAGCTCTTTGTCATCAATGTATGTTAGGATTTCCAGTAATTTCTAAACAAGGAAACAGAAGAAAAAGGCCACTGCCAATCAACACACTAAAGCTGAAGCACTGACTGGCAGAAGCTGTGGAATGAATCTCAAGTTCCCATCAGGTTCGCTGCTCTGGAAATGTGGAATCTTTGCACAATTGCTGCTATTATAAAAGGTGGCTCACAAAACACCAGCCTTCTCATCTGACAGCAGAACTGCAGAATCTTGGCAGCATACAGAAGACATGAGGAGAGGGCTGGCTTCCCTGGTTATTCTCAATGTCAAACTAAATGACCCTTGGCTAAACTGTCAGGAATTTGGATCAGTCCCACAAGAAAAAATACCTGGTACACTTGAGTTTCTGACCATTAAACTCTTAAGTCTTAATATTTTTAGATTTTGTGGTCAAACACATACACACACACAGATACACACACA